AGTTCATTAATGTAAATGATTACTCAAATAATAATAAAGAGATGGATAATCATTATGTAGTTTCATAATAAAACTATCATCTTTATGGATAATATATATCAATTTCTAATTTTTTATTTGTGAATTATAATATATAATTTATTACAATTTGACAATGTAGAATCTAATGGTATAAATTATAATTATCTGAGTTATCAATTTTAAAATCTAGATATTTTATTTTTCTTCTCTTGTGATACGTAGAGAAAACTTCTCTCAATCTAAATTATCCACATCATTACTTAAAAGGGCAATTATATTTATAGAATAAAAATTGTAGTATTGTCCCCTTAATATTTTCTCAAACTTTATCATTTTAGGAAAAAGTTATCTTTTATTTATAATTACGAAAAATTTTTTAAAAAAACTTTTATAATCTTAAATTTTTTAGAAAAATCAGAAAAAGAAATACAAAGACATTTCGTAAAACATCTTTTTCCAAAAAAAAAATTAAAACAACTTTTTACAAATGTTTACAAATTAGTAGAAAGTGCATTATATAAATCTATAAATTTATAGAATATGCTATCTATTATTTCATTAGTTTTCTACTAAATATATAGAATTAGTTATCTACAGTTCTTCTATGTTCTACAAAGATACGAAACCGTATTCAACAATATTTTCATTGTTCTACAGCTTAGTAGAATTATCTTTCTATAGTTACATCTTTGTTATACATCTTAGTAGAATTGCATTTCTACAAAAACTCTTTGTTCTACAATTATAGAATAATTATTCCACAATTCGGTTAACTGAATCTACGAGAATCTAGGATCAGATCTAGAGAATATATTTCTTTCCTTTTCGAATTATTTAATTTCCTAATGATTGTTTTTAAATTTTTTTTTTAGAAACTAAATTCTGTCAACATTTTTTGCTTTTTCTCCACAACTTATCGTTTTTTTCCTCCTTCAACCTACAAACTTTCACGTTTTCTTCATAATTTTTACGTTTTTCCTAGTTTTTTCGTTCTAATTACCTTAAAATATGTTACATACCTACCTAACTGAATCTTCGAAAAAAAAAATTCTAACAAATACTAACCACGAATCAGGCAGAAATGATTCACGAATCAGGCAAGTTTTTTTATAGCCATTCTAGAGTTCAAGGATTCCACAACTACGAAAACACAACAGGAAAATGCAAACTCGATTCACAATAATTCATGGGAATCATAAATTTTAATCTATCAATTTTAATTTTTATCAAGTTTAATATATGGGAATTATGGGAACTTTAAATTTATCAATTTTAATTTTAATTTATCAATTTTAATTTTAATTTATCAATTTTTTTAATTTATCAATTTAAATTTTTATCAATTTTAATTTTAATTTATCAATTTAATTTTTATCAATTTTAAATTTAAATTTTTATCAATTCATGGGAATCATGGAAATCATACTTTTTATCAATTTTAATTTAATATGTTTAAATTTTGGATCATAAATTTTAATTATTATGGGTAAATTCGAATTAAAATGGTAGAAGAGACTAAATTATTTATAGAAGTATTAAGAGGACAAAATTTATTATATAAGTAATAAGGAGACAATAGTTAAGTTTATCTGTCCTATATTTTTAATTATTTCTTGCTTAAATCACTTATTAATGGCACTCCACACATGTTAAACTCACTAGAATTAAATCTGCGCTATAACTTGGACGTTAAGGAGTGAATCCATCTCACTCTAGCTTCCCAACATCACAAAAAAGGACTTTTTTTACCACCATTTTCGAAAGATCTACTTATCAGCAATCTACCCGCTTCAAGTCTCTTGTCTAGCTTTTGATCGTTGTTCATTGATAGAAGAGAACTAGTAGCTTCTTGAAATACTCCTTTCCTGAATAAAGCATATATCCACTCTATCAACAACGGTTACACCAACACAGCCCAGCCTTGCATACATTTCCTTTATCCATCCCCCCCCCCCCAAAAAAAACTTTTTCCTAATGGTTGTGATCCACATCTCTTTTCATTAGCGTCTTCTGCTCATTTGTAGTCTCTTGAATGTACTGATTACTCGTAAATAACCCCTTCTAAGTTCTTTTAAACCCTTTCAAACAATCTCCGATCCTTTGTTACTCATTGTGACCCAGCTAGTGTCATGGTATAAGGACATATAGTGTTCTCTTTACAGTTTATCCACGTTTCACCAAATTGTGAAAGCCTCTTATATCCCAAAAGCACTTACAGATCAGACTCGTCATGTCTAGTAGAAAAAAGTCCTCAACGGTCTCAACATCTTGAACATATAAGGATAAGTTGAGGCATCTTTCTTTGCTTTCATTGTTATGTCCTTGTCCCATGGAAACAGAAACTAAGCTTGTACTTCCAGAGGGCAGCTTGAGACGAATAGCTAATTTCTCTGAAATAAAGTTCTTTGTTGCTTCAGAATCAATGAGAACAACCACTTTATGTCCAACTCATAGATTCTCCTTATATCAGAAATATTCGACCTTCTGTAACAGGGGCGGCAGACTCTATCATCTGGACATTTACGCCTGATGGAAGCTATTCTGTCTAATCTGGCTACCAAGTGCTTCGTAAGTCCTCACATCACACAGATACTGTCTCAATCGGACAAGTCCAATTCATCTCATAAATTATTAATTTGATATATATGAAAATCTAATATACCACCGAAACTTAAAACATTTTTGGTGAAGATGCCTACATAATGCGTTGCCAACTGCAGATAATCTGAAAAAGAGAAAGTTGATTATTGATGATACGTGTCAGAGGTGTGGTGAAGCTTAGGAAAGCTGATAAGAACTGAGATAGGATTCTCAGTGTAAATCTCGTATATTGATGAAGAAGAGAAGTACAAAAAAATATCTGTAGCTGTATCTCTATACACTCATAACGTGTATAACAGAATCCAGTTACACAGCACATACGCTGTACAAACAAACAAATGACATACGTATTCTAGTACAGAGTTAACTATTTATACTATTCACTTCCCGATACCTCTTCCACGCTCTTGCTTCACGCGCCTTCCTCTTCACTTAACTCTGTTTAACTCGCCTCACGCCCCTTCCTATTCACTTAACTCTGTTTAACTCCTCACGTATGTCTTAAAGGGCCTATCAATACACCCCCCTTTAAGAAGGATCTTGCCCTCAAGATCAAACTCTGGAAATTGACCTTTAATGTCTCTAGCCAAAACCCATGTTGATTCATGTGAAGGAAAATTCTTCCATTCAATCAACACCTCCAAAGCACCAGCTGCGTTGTAACGAATCTCCTTCACATCCAAAGGAATAATATTCTCTTCATCAACCAAAACCAATGGAAGAGAAATCACATGATGATGAGTTTCCAAGGCAGCTTTATGTTGAGAGACATGGAAGACAGGATGAATTTTCAAGCATGTAGGAAGCTGTAGTCTATAGGCCACTTTCCCCACTCTTTCCAACACTTCAAAAGGGCCATAGAAACGGGCAGCAAGTTTCTGGCAGACTCGACGAGCCACCAAAGTTTGGCGATAAGGACGAAGCTTCAAAAACACTTGATCTCCAACTTTAAAATCCACCAATCTTCTGTGTTTATCCGCTTGATCCTTCATCAGTTGCTGAGCTCGAAGTAAGTGAGCATGAATCTGCTGTAACATCAGATCTCTCTCCTTTAACATCTTCTCCAATTCGAAGTTGGCAGTTGAACCATCCTCAAACTTCACAACCGAAGGTGGTTTGCGGCTATAGACCACCATAAATGGAGTCATTTTGAGTGAAGTATGGTAGTTGGTATTATACCACAATTCCGCCCAAACAAGATACTTAGCCCACGTACAAGGATGTGATGAGGCCAGACAACGTAAATATGTCTCCAAACAACGATTTAACACTTCAGACTGGCCATCCGTTTGAGGGTAGAAGGCCGTGCTGTGCTTGAGCTTAGTACCCACCTGTTTGAAATATTTTCTTCCAGAAGTAACTTAGAAAAATGCGATCTCTATCTAAGACAATGGAGACAGAAAACCCGTGTAACCTGACCACCTCTTTGATGAACTTTTGCACCACATCGACCACAGTAAAGGGATGCCTCAAGCCTATAAAATATCCATATTTGCTGAGTACGTCGATGACTACAAAGATGACACTAACACCTTCAGATAATGGAAGTCCTTCTATGAAATTCATGCTAATGTCTTCCCAGATCTTTGTAGAGATAGGTAATGGTTGTAACAACCCAGCAGGTGATAAGGTTGAATACTTGTGAGTCTGGCAAGTCTTGCATTCATTTACAAACTTCTGAATATCATCTCGCATACCTTCCCAATGAAATGACTGTTGGACACGTTTCAATGTTTTTAAGATTCCAGCATGTCCCCAACAGGTCCTTCATGTAACTCAGCCAATATCAGAGGAATATATGCCGATGTAGCAGAAATCAGTAGCCTCCTTTTGTAACATAATCGACCCTCAATCACCATATACCCATTCTTAAAAACTTCACCATTAACAACTTTCCGAATAGTGTTCTGAATCCCCACATCATCTTCAATCTCCTTGTATATATCATGGAGTTGAATCACGGCTGGAATACTCTGAATACTTCGTGAAAGGCCATCCTCGGCTTTATTCTCAATGCTTGGCTTGTAATATATGTCAAAGTCATACTCAACCAGTCGAGTAAGCCAACATTAGTGTTCCATTGTCACTTCACGTTGTTCCAATAAGAATTTTAGGCTCTTATGATCCGTGTGCACCGCAACTTTCTGCCCAAAGGTAATGTTTCCACTTTTGAATGGCTAGAACAATAGCCATCAGTTCTCGTTCATAAACTAATTTTTGTTGTTCCCGAGCAGATGGACCACAACTGAAATATGCCATTGGTTTCTGTCTTTGCATCAATATCGTTCCTAAGTCAAAACCAGATGCATCTGTTTCCAATACAAATGTTTCAGAACAATCTGGTAATGCTAAAACAGGGGCTGATACCATCGCCTTCTTCAATGTATCAAAGCCATCTGAGCATCATCAGACCGCTGAAACTTATCTCGCTTGAGCAACTCGGTTAACGGTTTTGCTAAGTGACTGTACCCCTTTACAAATCGCCTATAGTATCCAGTCAACCCGAGAAAACCTCTTAAGTCCTTAACAGATCGAGGAGTTGGCCACTTAGACATTGCATCTGTTTTCTTTGGGTCAGTTGCAACACCATTCGCTGATATGATGTGACCAAAATAGTCGACCTCTGCCTGGGCAAATAAGCATTTCTTCCTATTTGCGAAAAGTTGTTGTTCAGCAAAAAATTTCAACACAACTCTCAAATGCTCTTCATGGTCCTCTAAACTCCTGCTTTAGATAAGAATGTCGCCAAAGAAGACTAAGACAAACTTCCTCAGAAAGGCTCGAAAAAATTATTCATCAATGACTGGAAAGTTGCTGGAGCATTTGTCAGGCAAAATGGCATAAGAAACTCGTAATGGCCATCAGGGGTTCTAAATGTTGTTTTCTCGATGTCATCCTCCTTCATTCTAATCTGGTGGTATCCAGAACATAAATCTAGTTTCGAGAAAAAACACAGGACCGTATAACTCATTGAGGAGTTCATCTATCATCGGAATGGGAAATTTTTCTAGAACCGTTGCCCTGTTTAGTGCCCTGTAATCTACACAAAAACGCCATGTAACATCATTCTTCTTCACTAAAAGAACTGGGCTAGAAAACGGGCTAACACTTTGGCGTATGGTTCCAGATTCAAGTATTTCTTGCACCATTCTCTCCATTACCTCTTTGTGAATATGTGGATACCTGTATGGGCACACATTGATTGGTTCTTTATCCTTCAGCAACAAAATCCCGTGTTCCCTTCCACGAACTGGAGGTAATCATGTAGATACTGCAAACACGTCTTCAAACTCTGATAACACGTCTGAAATCAGCGACAGAATCTCTAGACTATGTTGTTCTGCTACCCTTGTATCCTCAAATTCCAATAATACTCCTTTGGATACAATGCGAGGGGTAGGAGAAAGTGTCTTCAAAGATAAACGCTTTGCGTGTAAGCTGGTGTCACCATACAAGGTTATCCACTTATCGCTGTATTTGAAAGAGAACTCCTGCTTCTTCCAGTCGACCTGACAAGTACCCAACGTCTCAAGCCATTGCACACCTAGTATCACATCCACATTTCCCAAATCCAGAGATATGAAGTCTGTAGTAAACTCATATCCTGCCAAGGCGAAAGTTACCTCCGAACAACCATCCAATCCTTTAATCTGTAAGCCATTCCCCAATAATTCGTCTAAAGCTTCAGATTCAGCTACTGACAAGCGTGCTTTTGCCACAGTTTCAGGGGTGATGAAGTTATGTGAAGCACCACTATCCAACATCACTACTACTGTGGTTTTTCCAATAACTCCTAAAACTTTCGTCGTCTTTGGAGATTTAATCCCCAAAAATGCGTTTAGGGACAAATGTCTCAGCTCACCAACTGGTTTTGCTTCTGTATCACTCAATTCAAACATGTTCTCGTCTAATACTTCCACCTCAAAACCATTGAGAACTGTCAGCACTAGTAACTCCTGTTTAGGACACACCTTCTCATGTCCCTTGAACCATTTCGCATCACATATAAAACACAGACCAAACTTCTCTTGAGATCCAGTTCAGCATCTGTAAACTTTTGTCGTGGACGTACTGGTGGTTTAGCAATCAACTGTCCTTCCTTCTGAGCTTGTGTTTCCGTAGCCACAGCTTTGTTTTTGAGAGTATGAACAAACTGTAGTTTCTGGTTAGACACAAAGTTGGAACGGTTGGTGTGAGTAATGTTTCTCGAATATTCCCATCTTTCCTTGATACTTTACCCACCACTTTGCAGAAAACACTGCTCTCCATCTTCAACACTGCTGCAATGTGGTTTGCCAGACCTTTAGGCTCCTTCATTTTAATGACCTCTTTCATTTCCGGAGAGAGTCCATTGTAAAAAATGTCCTTGAGACCTTTATCATCAACCCCATACACTTGCGATGAAAGATCCTCAAACTCAGAAATATTATCACTCACTGATCCCAACTGACGAATTGAGTAGAGACGCTTTCCCGGTTCATCCTCCAACGATTCAGCAAATCGAACCAGCATCTTGGCCTTGAAATCTCTCCAATCTCGAAATCCTTGTCTCTTGCGCATCATCATCATACCTCTCGATTTCAAAGAAACTTTCCACTTCCGCAATCCAAACATACAGAGCAGAGCCATCAAAGAGTGGCATCTCAATTTTCTTCAACAAAATATCCTGATTCCCTAGATCTGAATGACCTGATCGATAACCTAGCGGAAATTCGTTCCGGTTTGTTTCAGAGAAAGAATTTGGTACCTGAAACTGATTTTATGAAGATCCAGGTATCTCCATTGGTCGAACACCTCCGTCAACATTCGGTGGTAGTCTACTTTGCTGGCGAATTGCATCAAGAATCGAATTGAGATTATCGTTCATCTCTGTCATCCTACCTTCCGTCTGTAACTTCAGTTCACAAAGGCGTGTGAAACCTCCGTGAAGAAATTCCAGCTCTTCTCTCATCACCGACATATCGCAATCGCCTCCCTCGCTTCCGAAATCTGATGTTGCTTTCCCTTTCGCAGCTGAATCCATAGCGTTGCTTCGATCGAGTCACTAACGCACCATTTGATAAGAACTGAGATAGGATTCTCAGTGTAAATCTCGTATATTGATGAAGAAGAGAACTACAAAAAATATATGTAGCTGTATCTCTATACACTCATAACGTGTATAACAGAATCCAGCTACACAGCAAATACGTTGTACATACAAACAAATGACATACGTATTCTAATACAGAGTTAGCTATTTATACTATTCACTTCCCGACTCCTCTTCCACCCGGGAAAGCGGCCGATTCGTGCCTCAACTGCACCTTCTGTACCGATTAGTGCCTGTACTTTGTTGCTGTGCCTACACATGCCCAAACTATGCAAAATGTGAATATTCATACCTGAACTCAAATTTTTTTGGCCGATTCATGCATTGACTCTTACTCCGTTAGTCAACTCCGTTAAATTGTTAACGGATCTGACTCATATGCCAAATCCCCGTTGGAACAAGAATATGATGTGACGTCGTTTTGAATAATTCTAAAAAAAAATATGCAGCTTCCAGGAATCGAATCCTAAACTACTCTCATTAATTCAAGCCCAGAAACCAGTAGACCAAATGTACTAATCAATTATCTGTTGCACGCTTAAACAATATAAACAATCGTACACCCATTATTAAAAAAAAAATAATACATTGCGAAGATATCACCATCGCAACTCAGATCGTCAAATACCGACGAATCAGACTTCTTCTTTGATGAATCGTTCGCAAAGCTGTAGGAAGAAGCGAAACTGTGAAATCAGCGACAGAAGAGTTGGTTTAGAGCGCCATCATCCATGGAGGATGCCTTGATTTATACCTCCGGCTTCGTTTCCCTCAACCCAAATCCGATTATTTTTTCCCACTAGAAAACGAAGACGAGATTAATCCTCAGATCTGAGTATACATCGACGAATGCGAGCAAAGTGTCTGATTTTGGTTTTGGAAAAAATAGCTCTCATATTAACACAGACCTCGATGAAGAAGATGAATAATCAATCAGTGGTGTGGGATCGTTTAAATTTTTTAAGCATGCAGTAGATTATCAATTAATTCATTTGGTCTACTGGTTTCTAGGCTTAGTTAAATGGGAATGGTTCAGGGTTCGATTCTTGGAGGTTGCAAGTTTTTTGTTTTTTTTTTTAATTATTCAAAACGACGTAGTATCATATTCTTGTTCCAATGGAGATTCCAGCGTGGTATATGAGTCAGATCCGTTAACAATTTGACGGAGTTGACTAACGGGTTAAGAGTCAATGCATGATTCGGCCAAAAAATTTGAGTTCAGGTATGAATATTCACATTTTACATAGTTCGAGCATGTGTAGGCACAACAACAAAGTACAGGCACTAATCGGTACCAGAAGGTGCAGTTGAGGCACGAATCGGCCGCTTTCCTTCTTCCACGCTCTTGCTTCACGCGCCTTCCTCTTCGCTTAACTCTGTTTAACTCGCCTCACGTATGTATTAAAGGGCCTATCGAAAGCCTTAACCATATCCTCTTTCAATGTGAGTTACTGCAGAAGTATGGGAGCAAGCACCAATAATGGCCCCAACAGGTATAAAACTTCGAACTAACTGTTTTAATCAGAATATGGAATCAATGCAGAGTTTACATAATAACCATAGAAAGGAATTGAGTTTATTACCTTTCACTGGTTGGAAAATCTGGAAGATGAGAAATGATTTACTTTTCAACAATAAGCAATGGTCAATTCCAGATATTATAAATAAATCTCTCATTGATTTCAACTTATGGAAGGAGGCTGTGAGTATGAATCAGTCTCAGCTTGATCTGTCTACTGATGATAGAAGCAATAGCCAGGAGAATCCAAGAAATACATTGGAAACAATACATGATGTTATTAATAGAGCTCATGAATTGTTGCTTTGTGGATGGTTCATGGGTATCTCCGGCCCAGTGTGCAGGAATAGGCTGGGTACTATACAACAAAAACGGTCAACAAGTCCTTCATGGAAAAGCTGCAGTAGAACCGACGAGCACACCGTTAGAAGCAGAAGCTGAGGCGTTGAAGATATCAATGATGCATGTAAAGCGTTTGGGGTCAAAAATGTTACCTTCTGTGGAGATGCATCCAAGCTATTTGAATCCATTGCAAAGTTCTTCGGTGCTCATCATCAACAAGGACAGAGTTTTTCTCCCTTATCAACGTTTTTGCAAGACATTCAATGCCTAGCTGAAAGAAGTGGATGTACTTCTTTTCTTAAATTTCCACGTGATGTAAACAATGTAGCTGATCGTTTAGCTAACAGACTAGGACCAATAATGTAAGTTTTCTAATATCGTGGAACTCTGTAACTGTAACTTAAGTTTTGATCAATAAGAAGGACGACAAAAAAAAGAAGTAATTCCACTATACACAACTAACGTATTAAATATATATTAAAAGATAAAATATTATTAATTTAGTAAAACTAGTTATTCAATATTTATAATTACTCTATAGAAATTTAATCCAATTCATTTTTTTTCCACTAATAATTATTCAGATGTTTGTTATTCTATACTACTAATCAACTCCATCGCACAGAAGCCAAAGAAAAAACTACACGATTAAAATTAGATAAACATTAATCGGTTTGGAGTTTTTATCAAAATTTAGAATCTCGTCTATCTCGTTTTTGTGATTCTATAGAATATTCTATACTAAAAGATTAGTCAAAAGGCATTGAAGAGTGACCTTACGCTTACTTCTACTATTCCATAAACTAACGTTATCCAATTCCTTTAGTTTTGTCCTCCGTATAGTAAGCATGGTCGGCCCACTGAGAATATTACAGCAACAGCTCTTTTCAATTGATTTTCTTACATTACTTGTTGATTTAAAAAAGGTATTAGACGTCCTTGATGAGTATAACCAGTGCTAAAAAAATTTAAGCGGTAGGCGGGTGGGCGGGTTCCGACTAGCGCCTAGATCAAAAATCAGTGATTAATCGCTGATTAATCAATGATTAATTTTTGATTAATTTATATTATAATTAATTTTTAATTATTTATATTAATCTTTTTTAGATGATTTTGGAACTTAAATTCGTTTATATTTGATTTTGATTTGATTTTATTGTAATTTAGTTGAATTGAAATTGTTAATTAAGGATTAAGTCGTTAAAATCGTTAATTGGTAAAGTATTGAATGTGATGTCGTTTTTAATTAGGAAAGAAAATTAATTGGACTGATTTTAGACCAATTTCAGAAAAAAATATAGAAATTTTATTAATAAAGTTGGGTCAATTTCAAAATTTTTGAGATTTTTTGGGTTGATTTTCAAAAGTTAGACGAAAAATTTGTTTTTAAACAGATTTAGGCGGTTTTAGACAGTTCTAAACAATTTTAAACGGTAAAAAAAACGGAAAACAACCTAAAACCGCGGCCTAACACTTAGTCGGAACGGTCATCCATCGCCTAGCATCTAAATAACCGATTAGGCAGCTAAGCGCAGCGACCGAGTTTTTAACAGAAAGTATAACAATATAAATCTATTTAACCTAATTAACAGTTTATTCGCAAAATCTTTTAAGTTATATATATGAACTCTAAAGCCAAATCATTTTAATGTCAAAATAGTCTCAAACTAAACTATAAACCTAAAAACTGAATCAACACATTAGAATAGTAGAATCATAAGCCTAATACGAAAAAAACTGTAACCACCAAAAAAATTTTCAAGGAAATATAATTTTTTTTAACCTGTTTTCTTAGTTTTCGTTTTATAATTTAAAATACAGGCACATTATCAAAATGGAAAAGTATGATCAATTTCGGATTACATTTTTCAAAGGTAAACCTTTTGAGTCATATAATTAAATATTTGATTTAGTAACGTAAAATTAATCAAAATAGTCGGTCGGTCATAGTTCGGACAAACTACCATAAGACCAAAATTGAGAATACCAAAATTAAGACCAAACGGTAAATAGGTCCCACCGACTTTTCTCATGACACGTGTCATTATCACCGCCAATTTCGTTTCACTACAACACGTGTCTTCATAATAACCAATTAGAATATCCCACATGATAACAATAGTAGTATCTGAAGTGGATCCCAGTGACAAGTGACAGATCAACCACCACAGGATCGATTAAAAACCTTGATGAGTCGAACAGTCTAGATACGGACACGTGTCATTATGTAACGTCGTGGCACCAGCTGAATTGAGTGGGTCCCTAAACGAAGCTTCACGCAGCTATACACAACCGTTGAATATCACAATCTTGCTCAAGAACCGTTAGATCAAAATAGTCGGTCCTTATTGTATTATCCGAAGTCATTAGTAATCTAATCTTAAATTAATTAACCAAAAATCACAGACAAAATCCTCTATAAAGCACCAATTCCTCCCACTCAACGATCATCACTCAGACACTCGATATATACAACTCACGATAACAAACACAAAAAGTTTTTCAAATTTATCACTTCCAAAGACAAGATAATGGCACTTGAGATCAACAACAAACTTACCGAACCGGTCTTTGCAGCCACCGCTAACGGCGGAGAAAAGAGGGCTTACGTGGCTTTTCTCGCCGGAAACGGAGACTTCGTGAAAGGAGTGGTGGCTCTTGCTAAAGGGCTAAGGAAAGCTAAGAGCAAGTATCCACTTGTCGTGGCCGTATTACCGGACGTCCCGGAGGATCACCAGAAACAGCTGGTGGAGCAAGGCTGTGTCATAAAAGAGATCGAGCCGGTTTATCCACCGGAAAATCAAACCGATTTTGCCATGGCTTACTATGTTATCAACTACTCTAAGCTTCGTATATGGAAGGTATATATGCATACAAATACGTATATACTTTTCGTTGACATATACTAAAGATAGCGACATAAATAATATCACTTTTATTAGTAAGCTGTTTTGTTGTTAAATAGCAAATTTTGTATTTTATGACCAAAATATTTTTGTTTTCCTGTTTTATCAATTTATTGAAGACTAAAACTCTACTATTTCTGTTTTTTTTTCTTAGAATACATAATTAGTTGATAATGTTATAATGATTTATGAAACTTTAAAATGACACAGTTTTATGGTTTTGTTCAAACATAACACTATAATTTAAATTTTCATAATAACCATAATTCAATATTTAAGTGATTCAAAAATAATTTCTAACAGAGAAAAGCCCCAAATTTAGTTATATTCATTTAGGTTAAACAAGTATTTTTGACACAGCAGTCGATCTTACTTTTGAAATTTTAATCTTAGTGTGCTAAGTTTGGAATAAATGCGAATTTTTTGCTATTTTAGAATATTTTAATTAAAAATACGCCAGATTTTTAATACTAAGTGTGGAGTTTATAATTTATTTTATGGGTTGAGGTTTGAAACTATCGTTTTTGGTTCTGTTTTTAGAGTATAGGATTTATTTTAGTCTTATCTTTTAAAAACAATATGGAATATGTTGTCAAATTTGGTATAGGTTATGGTGTTTTTTTTTTATAACGTTGTCTATTTTTTTCAGCTAAAACTTCTGTTCTCTTTTAATTTCATCTATTTTCATATGCATGTGTACTATATAATAAAAATGAAAAAAACAAATGGATGCAGTTTGTGGAGTACAGCAAGATGATATACTTGGACGGGGACATACAAGTGTTCGAGAATATAGACCACTTGTTTGATCTCCCGAACGGCCACTTCTACGCAGCCAAGGACTGTTTCTGCGAGAAGACATGGAGCCACACGCCACAGTACAAGATCGGTTATTGCCAGCAGTGTCCAGACAAGGTTACATGGCCAGAGGCAGAGCTTGGTCCTAAGCCGCCTTTGTATTTCAACGCCGGTATGTTCGTTTACGAGCCTAACCTCTACACTTATCAAAACCTCTTGGAGACTCTCAAAGTCGTTCCTCCAACCTCATTTGCTGAACAGGTAATTAATTAGAAGAAATGATTAATTCCTTAAGTGTATTTATATACAAACGAAAACATGTGATAATTCATTGTAAATATTTTTGTTATAGGATTTCTTGAACATGTACTTCAAGGACATATACACTCCAATACCAGGAGTTTATAACTTAGTGATGGCTATGCTTTGGAGGCATCCTGAGAATGTAGAGCTTGAGCAAGTCAAAGTTGTTCATTATTGTGCTGCTGGTTCTAAGCCTTGGAGGTGAATTATATTTTGGCAGTACAAAACTAATGCTACAAATTTAACCAAAATGTTTCCTTTTGTCAAAATTAAAAGGGTTAAAAGTTTATTTTAGAAATATATGTGCTTCACAAATAGTTATTAAATATATCTTATTTATTTTTACTAGCATATTTTAGGTAGGTTGTATATACATGTACACGTATGAATCTTTTGTTGGAAAAATGAGTTAGCGTATGAGTGTGAATATTTTTTCCTCGAATTATCATTAATTTGGTAGTAACAAACATAGGCTCTCTAGTTGAAAGTCCTGTTCGATTGTCATTTAAATCCGCTAGTTAAAAGATGGTTATGCCCTGTTCGATTGTACCACTTATATCTGTCAGCTAACAGACGGTTAAACTTGGTTTTGCTGAATTGATTTTTTTCTCTGAAATTTTTTTTATTGTAACTGTATCAGATTCACTGGAAAAGAAGAGAATATGGAGAGAGAGGATATCAAGGTGCTGGTTAAAAAGTGGTGGGACATTTACAACGACAAGTCTCTCGATTACAAGAACGTTATCGGAGAAAAGGGAGGAAATCCCGATCTCCATAAGAAGCAGTTAGTGGAAGCTTTGTCTGAGGCCGGTGTGCTTCAGTACGTCAAAGCTCCATCTGCAGCTTAGAGACCATATGCTCATCAAGCTTTGTTACTACGACTCCTATGACTATCTCACTTTAGTTTGAACCTTGTTTACAGAAACTATATAGTTAAATATATACTATATTGAAAATGTGTTGCAATTTTTATTGGTTCTTTTTTTTTAGAAGGAACAATGTTTCCTGCTATATTGTAAAGTATAGTTACTATACGTGAGAAAACAATATCTAGTGTTTAATTATATCTCGTTTGTGTCTTCTCCAACTGTTAAATATAATCCTTACCGACGACCAAAAAAAAAATATATATATAATCCTTACCAAGTATAAAGCATTTGATCTTGTATGTCTAATGTCTATGTAGACATAAGTAAACACATACCTCACTTTCTCGTCAATTTCTGTTACTGTTCAAATCTCAAATTTACAAGTTTTATCTCTTTATCTTGCCTCCGATATATTTATGAACCCATTGAAAGACCCTTTTTAATATACACTTAGTTATGCGGATACTTGCCTCACACATCTCAGCGGCTGCGACATAGATTTTGGTCTCAAGGATTTGTCATTACCGTGTTTGTCAAGAAAACTGATTGGATCGTCTTGGTTTTGTCAAAGTAATTTGTGGAAGTACTTTATTCATCAGCATAAAAGTATATACATGTACATTAATTACCCTTAAGTTAGTAACTAGCAATGTGGGACAAAACAAATAAATTAGTTAACATTGAGTTAGTAACTATACATGGTTTAATAAGCTCATTATCTCTTAATACTCCCCCTCAAGTTGGAGCATGGAGATCTCGAATGCCCAACTTGCACAAAATTTCTTTAAACGGACGTCCTCCAAGTGCTTTAGTGAAGATATCCACCAACTGTTGAGTAGTAGAAACATGTTGAGTCTGAACAATTCCAGCTTGTATATCATCTCTAATGAAATGACAATCAAGCTCCACATTCTTCGTTCTCTCATAAAACACAAGATTAGCTGCAATATAAAGCGCAGACTGACTGTCACAATATAAATCCATTGGACCAGAATGTGCAATACCCATCATTAACAACACACTCTTTATCCACTTCAACTCTTTCAATGCCAAAACTATAGCTCGGTACTCTGCTTCAGCTGAAGAGCATGATACAATGTCCTGCTTCTTTGAACTCCATGACACAGGAGAATTTCCGAACTGTACTAACATCCACTCAATCATCTCTTCATGATTGGACATCCAGCCCAATCTGAATCACACCAAGCTGTAAGATGAAAATTACAACCAGATTTCAACAAAATTCCCATTCCCAGGCACCCTTTCAAGTAACGAACAACTCTCAATGCAGCCATCCAATGATCCTCTCTTGGCTCATTCATAAATTGAGACAAGATGTGAACTGAGTAGGAAAGATCTGGTCTAGTCGCAGCCAGGTAAATCAACCTTCCAACAAGTCTCCGATACTTCTCTGGATCAGCAAGTATCTTTGTCATCGACCTTTCCAACTGATGATTTTGCTCCATCGGAAACTCTACAGGTCTACCACCAAACAAACCAACATCAGCAATAATATCCAAAGCGTACTTTCTCTGTGATAAGTATATACCCTCTGCATTTCTTGCGACTTCCAATCCAAAAAAATATTTCAATTTCCCAAATCTTTCACATGAAAGCAATTGCTTAAATACGTTTTAAAGTTTTGTATCACCTCGGGAGATCTTCTTGTCCACAAGATCTTCCTATCACCACAAGATCATCCACATACACTAGAATGTGCAAGTGAACTTTATCACGAACTAATGATAAAAGAGAGTAATCAGCCTTACTCTGTGTAAAACCATACCCCAAGAGTGCCTTCGAAAGTTTCGCGAACCAACATCGCGGAGCTTGTTTCAAACCATACAGCGACTTGCGCAAACGACATACCATACCCTTCTTAGAAGCACCAAAACCCTGAGGTACCCTCATAAACACCTCTTCATCCAAATCTCCATGAAGAAACGCATTGTGCACATCCATCTGATGTAGCTCCCAAATTTTCACAGCTGCAACTTGAAGAACCAATCGAACTGTGCTTATCTTTGCTACAGGAGCAAATGTATCAGAATAATCAATCCCTTCTTTTTGAGGGTTCCACATGCCACAAATCTCGCTTTATACCTTTCAATCGAGCCATCTGCATTATACTTAATCATGTAAACCCATTTACACGCAATAACATGCTTACCTGGTGGTAAGTGTTCAATCAACCATGTTTGATTTCGTTCTTGGGCCTCAATCTCCAGTCTAATAGCTTCTCTCCATCGCGGATTTTTCATAGCCTCAGCAAAAATTTTCGGCACAACTCCTTGAGTTATACTACACAGAAATGCCGTGTGTGACACAGAGAATCTTTCACAATTCACATAATTCTCAATACCGTAATCATTCCTCAACTCCTGACTCACAGTGGATGTATTCATTGTAAATGTCGTATTGCACACATAATCACATAACTTGACAGAAGTTTCTTTCTTTCTCATTCCTCTTCCCAAAATTTCTGCTGATGCAGGCCGTTGCACAATTTCGGCCTGTGTCACCGATGCAGGTTCTGTCACTAAAGCAGGCTGCACAGTTTCAGCCTGTGTCTCCGATGCAGGTTCTGTCACTAAAGCAGGCTGCACATTCTCCGACTGTGTAACCGATGGAGGTTCAGTCTGTGGCACTGTAATTCCTAAGATATCACATATTTCGTTTCCTATAATCTGTCTTTCTTCTTCTGCAACCTTGTATGACACAACCAGAGTCTGTGTCATTATATCTCTTGTGAGAGGTTGTATAATTTCTCTTGCCATGGCAGGTTCTATATCGTTAAAACCAACGTAATAACCTCGTATGATCAGAATTAGAAGGCTCATCCAGCTGTGTATTTTTTAGCTCCAAATATGAGAATTGTTCCTCAATAAAAGTGACATCCCGAGAAACAAAGATCTCATGTGTGTCCAAGTCAAATAAGTTCCATCCCTTCTTTGCATAAGGGTATCCTAAAAATACGTATTTTCTGCTTCTACTAGCAAATTAATCCCCATGATGTTTCTGATTGTGAGCATATGCTAAACATCCAAAAACTCGTATCTCACTATAAACAGGAGCTTTCCCAAAGATGATTTCATAAGGAATCTTACCATTGTGTAACACAGAAGGCGTACGATTGATTAGATACGCAGCACTCAAAGCACAATAACTCCAAAGTTCTATTGGTAAATTTGCCTGAAACCTCAACGCTCGTGCGACATTCAGTATATGTTGATGTTTTCGCTCCACTCTCCCTTTTTGTTGAGGAGTTTCCACACACAAAGTTTGATGAATTATCCCTGATGTACGAAAATAAATCTTCATACCTATGAATTCACTACCATTATCAATTCACACGATTTTCACATGTTTCTCAAACTGTCGCTGAATGAGAGCAAAGAAATCTACCATTGTTTTCTGAACTTGTGTTTTATCAGCAAGAAGAAAAACCCACACAGCTCTGGAATAATCATCCACAATAGTTAAGAAATAAGAAGATCCACACACGCTCTGTGTTCGATATGGCCCCCACATATCACAGTGAATCATCTCAAAGCACTCTTTGCTTTTCTCTGTACTCACAAGAAATACATTCTGACACTGCTTTGCTCGGAAACAGACATCACAATCAGAAACACCAACACTCTTTTGATCCACTTCTGGCAATCTCCTAATAACCTTTTCAGAAGCATGTCCCATCCTTTTATGCCAAAGTTCCAAAGATCCCAACTTACTGACCTTCACCACATTCACGATCTTCTGAATACCTTGAAGAAAATACAATCCATCTTTTTTTTCACCCACTGCAATCGGAGTCTGCAAAGCAGGATCCTGTACCCGACACATTTGCTTAGGAAATAACACAATGCAATTCATTGCATCAATAATCTGTGACACGGAGATGAGATTGCACTTGAGTTCCTTGACAAAAAGCACATGTGTCAAAGTTAACTTCTCTGTCAATGCCACACTTTCTTCTCTATCAGCAACCACAACGTTTCCATTAGGCAGACCCACTAAACATGGTGAGACTTTATGCACATCAAAAATACCACTGAACGTACCTGTCATATGGTGGGACACGCCACTATATATAATCTACTCATCTGTATAGGTATTATCACTCACACAAATTGCTATCTGTAATCTCGAATCAAGCCATTGAACAAGCTTATGCCATTGATTTTTCTTGATCCCTGTTACAGCCTGTGCATCATCATGCGACGCCTCAGGCGACGCCTCAGTGTGTGACACACGTTTTTCAGTGTGTAACACACGTTTTTCAGTGTGTAACACATGTTTTGTAAGTTTTCCATACTTCTCCAGCCACCAATCTGGATATCCATATACCTGATAACATGATCTCACATCATGACTATACTTCGAACAATAAGAACACATAACTATTTGACTCTGAAATCTCATATTTTCTGAAACAGGAGAAATCTCCAAAGTTTCTTTACCGAGTAAAGAAAGCTCAAGCACTTATGGCTCTACAGAAATACCGAACTTCGTCGGTCTGAGTTCACCACCAAAACAAAAGAGCAAAACCTCGTCGGTTTGCTTTCCACTAAACCACAACTTATAACAAGAATTTGAATCAAAAGCTAAACCAAAACTTTATGTTGCCTTAGACTCTGAGTCAAGAGCTAGACCAAAACTTTATGTGGTCTTTGGCTCTGATACCATGTCAAAGTAATTTGCGGAAGTACTTTATTCATCAGCCTAAAGGCACATATATATACATGTACATTAGTTACCCTTAAGTTAATAACTAGCAATGTGGGACAAAACAAATAAACTAGTTAACATTGATTTAGTAACTATACATGACCCAATAAGCCCATTATCTCTTAATAGGTTTCGTCAGATTCTCTTTCATTGCTAATCAGACTGGTCCTGAGGGGGAGGATGGATAGAGGGTTTGAAGATGGAAACAAGAGTCTTGTTTATCTCGAAAATCTCTCGTTTAACCCACAAGATTACATGTTCGCATGTGTTTGGCCTCAAAATTGTATCCAAACGTTTTCATGTAGTAACAAACAGTGAACACTATACATTGAAATACGAAAAAAATAAACGACGTTAAGGGAAGAGAGAAGGAGTGGAGGCGAGATTATGGATCTCTTTTGATAATCTATTTCCTTAACTTTTTGAATCATCTGCAGTGTGACGGAAATTTGAGATTCAAGAATCCCAG